TAATTTCTCAGAGGGAATTATTTTAAACAGAATTTATGTCACAATGCTCACCTATTTTTTAATTGTACCCTTTCTAAAAAATGCTAAAGGCTTATATTATTTCCTGTTGCTTACAATGCAAACATCTAATTATGTCATCTGCTTGGAAACATGTTATGAAGCAGACCTTTTTTATCTAGCCAATCTTGACAATAAATGCTCAGTCATTTGCATTTTATAATTGCTTCTGGTGGTAAATGACCTGCTCTCTGATTTTAACAGGCACTCAGAGGTCAGTGAATAAGCAATGTTAGAAGTAGAAGCCATTTAAAACAATTACTATGTCCTTTTTTTAATATATATTTATGTGCGTCAATGTCTTATGGGTTTATGCTCATTTCATACATTTAGTTTTGAATAGCTCATATTATTATCTTAAGGGCCAGGGAAAGCAACGACCTTGAAGACCATTAATATGTAGCATAATATATTGTTGATTCTCAGATTGAGAATTTATTGACCTTTCTTTTGGTTTTTGTTTGTTGATATTTTTTTAATTTATTTTTAAATTTAAAAACCCTACTTCTTCCCTGAGATTATTCCCATTTGGATGCCACCTTCACACTGTGAACAGATATTGCCATTTCAGCTGTTTGGTAGAAACCTCATGTGCACTGCCGAAAACTCTAGGATGAAATTCACATTATTACTGAAGGCAGTGTCAAGAATATATACAACATGTATTTTTGTCACCATTGCAAGTGTTTGTCCTTGTACCAGTCCTGGTTTTGGTTTCTTTGGAAAAGGTGATGTTGGCTTTAGAGGTTGCATAACCATAAAATACCAGGTTGGATGGGACCTCAAGGATCATCTGGTCCAACCCTTTTTAGCAAAATCAAGGCCTAGACAAGATGGCCCAGCACCCTGTCCAACTGAATCTTAAACGTGCCTAATGTTGGGAATTCCACCACTTCCATAAGGAGATTATTCCAGTGACTGATTGTTCTCATTGTGAAATTTTTTTTCTGTCCAGTTAGAATCTCCCCATGAGTAACTTCTACCCATTACCCCTTGTTTTTTTCCCTGTCATCCCTTGTAAAAAAGGAGTCTCCATCTTCTTTGTAGCCATTTTTCAAGTACTGGAACATGGTGCTAAGGTTTCAAGGTTGAACCAAATCGGTTCTCACAGCCTTTCCTCATATGACAGGCTTCACAGTCCTTTGCTTATCATTGTCTTGAAACCTGATGTTATTAATGTAGTGGACCCACATCTTTCCTAAGAGGCAAAGAAGGTCTGATGGCTTCTAGGCTGAAAAAGCTCTTTTGTTATAACTGTAGACAAATGACACCACATCTTTTGTGTGCTTCTCTCAAATACAGTTTAACTGGTCTTGATTTACATGAAGTTAGGGTAAACACTAATATGAATTTATTTGCCAAGGTTCTTCTGCAATGTATTTGCACCAGAATAAATTTAATTTACTCTGTATGTCTTAGAATGCTTGTTTTTAGAACTGAGGTGAGCAAAGTGCATATGAATTATTTGCCTAAATGGGATGGTCTTACAGGAAGAAGTTAATCAGTACTGAAATATTGTGTGTGCTTCATTATTAGCAGGATGTGTACAAAGTCAGTATTTCCTTCTTTGTTTTAATTGTTATCTTCACGACAGTGCAAAAGTACCAGAATCATTTCATATGCAAAATAATAACATTTTCCACATCCCATCTTCATTTACCAGAGTATTTTATGTTGAATTTT